CAAGCGATACCAAGTGATGCAGAGCAACACATGGCAATGCGAAACAATGCAAAGCGGGCGGCGACGAGGCGGCGGGCGGCGAGGAGGCGGCGGCGGCGGTCGCATGGCGGCCAGAGCGGCCTGCAGGCCCAGCTCCTCAGAAGACACGTGAAGACCCCTAACGTTGGACGAACGTTGTGAGAGATTGGACCGTTCGTTTTGAGAACCAGCATTCTCCTGACGTGTAGTAGGTTATGCCGCATCGGCCTGTGAAATTCTCTGGTCCGTAGCTCTTTCATTTCTATAAAGTTTCTATCAAGAGACGCAGAGGAACTGACGTGCAGGCACTGCTTGGGAAACGTCCCCTGCGCCAGGAGCCCGTCCCCGGGACCCCACGGGCCGCAGACCACGGGCGCACCCGGTGTGAGCCACGCGGCGCCCCGCGCCCTCGGGGCCCGCCCGCAGTGACTGCCCCGGCTGCCCCTGGAGGCTCCCGGAGCACCATCGGACTTCTTATATATCTCGGGGGTGGACGGACCTCCTACCCTGACACGTCGATCAGCGAATTGTCCGTTTGCGGTTCTCGAGAGGGCGCCGCGGCCGTCATTTTCCAGGCTTGCGCCCGCCAGGTTTGGGCCCTAGTTCGTTTTCACTAAACCACGTTTTACTAAAGGGGGTTCTGTCCATCCCCGAAGGGATGGTTATCCCAAGGTGGGGCTGGGGATCGGGCCCAGCTGGATGCTCCTGTTGAGCGCGTTTCCTTCTTCCGGGGGCCGGCTGGGGCGATGTTCCCTTCTACCCCACTTTTTCGCCCCTGCCCCACCTTCGTGCCCGCCGATGCAAGAGGGTGCAGACAGCCCAAGAGGGTCCCAAGAGGGCCCAAGACGGTTCCAAGATGGTGCCAGGATTGCCCAGGGGTGCCCCAAGGCACCAAAGGTCGCCTCAAGACAGCCCAGAAGGTTCCCAAGGCGTCCCAGGAGGGGCTCCCAAGACGACCCCACGGGCAGAAACCATATCTTCGTCAGGCAAATTCTGAGAATTGTCGCGGTCTCAGTTTTCTGGCTTGCGACGACCGCCCAGAATGTCTCGCCCCAAGACGGCCTTATAGGCCCCCAAGTCAGTCCAAGAGGGCTCCTAACCGGGTTATGAGGCCCCTCAAGAGCTCAAGAGGGTCCGAGAGATTCCAAGAGGATTCCGAGAGGGGTTCAAGAGGAGGAAAACGAAAGGGCTTTCGGAGCCTTTCTCCCAATGATCGCTCCCAAGATTCCCAGCATGCCCCACAACAGGCCCCCGAGAGGTCCCCAGCAGAGGCCCATGACACCGCCTCCGAGAGACTGCAGCAGGCACCAAGGGGCCCCCCAAACACACATCCGTTGCAGTTTTGGTTCAAGCCTTTTTGGCTTCAGCCTTGTCGGCGCAATCGACGCGACCCCCCGACACGGACGCGGCCCGAGTTTCAAGTGACACGTCAGCTATGATCTACCACGTGGATTACCCGATGTATCAGCAGTTCTTGATGAAGACAGGGCGAGCGTCTAAAGCTGCAAAGGATTACGGTGGCGGGAAGAAAGACTCTAACGTGAAGTTCGAAGGTGGCAAGCCAGGTTCTTTTGAGTGTTAGCACTGGGAAACGACACACGTCAACGCTCATCGTCTGAGTTTGCAGCAGCAGATGTGGAGCAATATAACTCCTCAGGAGCATTCCTGTTTCAATCGGCTGTGAGGCATGCCATCCATGTGTTCGTGTCTACTAGGTCAGTTTTTCTGCCAGACGCTTTGAACTGATACGGGCGCTTTGGCCCCAACCGCGACGCCTGCACGGTGCGCAACGCGGGTCGCAGTCGCAGCCACATACCTGGAGCAGCAATGACAGATGTTGTGAGAAACAGAGGGAGGCCCCCCGAGAGACCTCCCGAGAGACCTCCCGAGAGACCTGAGGCATCCGAGAGACCTCCGAGAGACCCGAGGCATCCGAGAGACCTCCCGAGAGACCTCCCGAGAGACCTCCCGAGAGACCCGAGGCATCCGAGAGACCTGCTTCCTGGAGGCATCCGAGAGGCCTCCCGAGCGATCCGAAGAGAGGAGTCTGCGCGGCCTCTCGCCCACAGCCCCCCATGCACGGTGGCCGGAGGGGGCCCCGGGGTGGCTCTCGGCCGCCCTTGGACGCAGCCCCAGACGGACGAGAGGAGCCCGGGGTGGCCCAAGAAGGCCCATGACCGCCCAAGAGTCGGGGGCGAAAAAGAGGGGGGTGATGACTAGGGGGGGTGGATATCATGGCGGGGGCCATGATTTTTCCCCAGATTTCATGGCGCCTCTTCTTATTTCATTACGGTCCCTGGCCCCCCCGCTGGGCCGCGCACATGCCGCCGGTCATGATTCGCACCCCCCCTCTTGGACACCCCCCTCTTGGCCGCTCCCGAAAGAGGTCCCAAGACGGCTTGAAGGTTGCCTCGAGAGACCCCCAAAGACAGGCCTGGGGACCCTTTGTGCGGCTGCACATCACAGCGCACCCAAGACGGGCGCTCCAGCATGCGTCCAAGAGCCTCCAGGGTGGCCTGAAGGCGGCTGGAGGCGGAGGGGGAAGCAGAATACCGACCTTCCATGGTTCTTGCTCCTCTCCCCTCTCTTCGGATGCAAATCATGGGAGACCAAGCTATGATTCTGGCCCAGTCCGAAATGTGGCTTAATCTGGCCAGTCCAGCTTAATCGAGCTCAATTGAGCTTAATCCGCGGCCTACTCCGGCGTAGCAGCCCCCAAATGGGGCTGCATCCTCCCTATCCCTTTACGACGAAGACCTCCCATCAGTTTGATGGGCCTGTTTTCCACCACCACCACTATAAGTTGGAGGGGGGAAGGAGGTGGAGGACGAGGAGGAGGAGGAGGACGAAGTGGAGAAGGAGGAGGAGGCGAAGGAGGAGGAGGATGAGGAGGAGGACCCCTCCCCATTCAACTTCTGGTGGTGGTGGTGGTGGAAAACAAGCCCATCATAGTTGCCTCCTAGCCTTCCACCGTCCCTGCTCTCCCGCGTCCTCCCGCCCCTCTCCTCCCCTCCCATTCCTTCTTTTTCCTCGTCCCCTGCTCTTGCGCCTCCCCCTCTCCTCCGCCTCTCCTCCCCCTCCTCCCCTTCCTCCCTCCTTTCCCTCCCCTCTCCCTCCCCTCTCCCTCCCCTCTCCCTCCTCTCTCCCTCCCCTCTCCCTCCCCTCTCCCTCCCCGCCGACGTTGCCGGTGCATCGCCGATGCATCGCCGATGCACTGGCGATGCGGCACGATCCTCCGACCCCATCGTCTCGGACCCCGTCTAGGAGGCTTGCACGAATCGGCACTGGCCTGGTCTGGCCAGGACGGGTGAGGCGGTCTGCTGACGTTCGTCGACCTTCCCCGTCTTCTTCTCCCTTCCTCCCCCTCCCTCTACAGTCGGCCTAGATAAGTAGGTCGACCCTGACAAACCAAGGGTACCCTTGTGTCCTGTGTTTCGCGACCCATGGTTCCTAGATTCCTGTGGCAATATGGCCCTCGGAAGGGTCTTGTGTCTTCTCGCGTGTCCTGTCCAATCGAGTCCAACACTATTGGGGAACAGCAAGTTACATAAACATACACTTTTGGAGGCATGCGCTGATGTCTTGGACCAGCGCTGAACATCCCTGGCGTGCGGAGCGCGCCATGTGCGGCGCCGGAGGCGCCGCCAATGGGCTCCAGCGCCGATTCGAGAAATCCCTGCGAACTTCCATGAGTATGTGTTTATGCCATTATTTGTTCCCCGACGCTCCTCCTTCAGGGCTGGGGCAAGATGGTGCTTCAGGGGCAACGTCAGGGGGGGAATGGACTTGGACTCGAGGTGGTTATTCGAGCGTTTTCGGCAGTCTCCGAAAGCTTCCGAAACCCAGGGTGGTTTCCTCCAGCTGCGCCTCGTCGAGGCCGTTCCGGGGTTGCCAGGATCGTCCCGACCGGCCGGTCCGAAAACCAGGGGCAACGTCAGGTTGGGACAGGCTCAAGGGGGGGATGCACCGATCCCCAATCGTGCGTCGATCGGCGGCAGGGGCCGGATAGCCCACCCCGCCCAGGACTATCGCCGCTTTATCGGCGGTGTATCGCCGATTTCGGGTCGATGCCTCCAGCGGGTCCCCCCCCTCACGTTGTCTTTCAGTCCTGGGGGAAACGTGTCCTGACGTTTGTTTGCCAATGTCGGGCCAGATGAAAGGGGGGGATAAGGGAAAGGGGGGGTCACGAAATCTGCTGCATGCAGCAATCTTCAGCCCCACCGAGGGGCCCCGCCCCCTGCTTGCCATCTCGGGCTCCCTCCATGCTCTGGCGTGGGTGCGGTTATAACCCCTATAAGTCTTCAGTTCTGCACCGAGCGCGTTCCACTACTCGCAAAGTGCCTAACACATGCCTGCTTCGATGTAATTTCTCGTAGATCCCCCCCCGGCAGATCCAGGCCAATTGCGAGTAGGCAATTTGCGAGTAGTGGAACGCGCTCGTCTAGTTGTGGGTCCCATCATTGTTTCTCTCGGCAGGGAACAAACTCGCCCCTCCTCCCTTCCTCCTCCGCCTCCTCCTCCTCCTTGCTGCGGAGATTATGTTATCTCTGGTGTTGTGCGGGCCGGATCATGCTGGGGAGTTCTTTCTCCCAGGGAATACCCCATTGTCACGAACGAAATGGGTACGGAAAGAATAGGTACAATGCCCAACAGCGGGTCCTGTTCATTTTGAACAGGACTCGCTGTCGGTGTCGCCGCGGCCTGTGTGCATTTGAGTCAGAAGGCGGCCTGCCCAATAGCGGCCGCTGTTGGTTTGGGACAACATTCGTTCTTGGGCATGGTACCCTTTTTACCCGTGCCCATTTCGGGCGTCCAACACTGTGGGCCATCCTACATGCGCGAGGATTTGTGAGCATCTCCTCGTGAGGATTGCAATAAGAATCAGCGGACGTGGTTGTGGTCGCGGTTGTCGTCGTGGTGATAATCGTGATTGTAGCCGTGACTGTAGTCGTGATGGTAGGCCACGCCCTCGTACGCCCCGCGGCGGCCCCGCAGTCCAAGGGCGTCAATGTCAAGAAGGCGCGGAAGGAGCTCTTCGCGTCCGAGCTCGGGTACAAGGAGCTCCCGTGCCGAGAGCGACGCAGGAAGTTGGAGGAGGAGGTGACGAGGAGGGGGATGAATACATGTGCTCGCCGGGAGCCAATCTGCTGCCCTCTCTCCACGTACACACATGTGTGAGTATGGTCGTGCAGATGTATGTATCTATGTATGTATGCATGCATGCACATCTACGCTTATACACATCATGGCAGTTTCCTATTGAGCATATATCTCCGAGCATCTTCTTACTTGTGTTATGACATGCGATGACCTTGGGTGGCGTATTGTGTTATACTACATACGCATACACTGTACACTATAACATTATGCGGCACTTTGGTTACATATTATGTTACATGGTGTCATACGGAAGGTTTTATCATATGGCTGACAATTCAGTACCGTACATGGTATACAGATGTCATCGGTGTCGTTGTATACCAGTCTGCGTTAAGTTGTACCAGACCATATTATTATATTATGCTCTCGCACATCCACCTATTACAGTTGCTACAGTGCATCATGCGATAGCACGTTCTGTTATGCATGTGTATGGTACGTCGTGTTGTGCCACTTCTCTAGTGTAATTTATAGTACTCGGATGCACGATGTGGCATCACCCATTCTGTATTCTGTATGATCATGTCATATTATTGTATTATGTAATAATTTTCCTTTGGTTAATTCATAGCACTATATATATGTATATATGTATGTCTATATTGTTGTGCTGAAAGAGTGTGTTTGGAGTGTCGCACATCATAGTCTAACTAGTGTATCCTGGTTTCTCGTAGTCTAGATGTCTTTATTGTACCACATTGCGACCCGTTCAGTCTAGTATTTTCGAGTCTGGCTTCTCTCTATAATTCAGTATCGCACATGCTGTTGCTTTCTAGCGTAAAACATTTCATATGTTGAGTTACACTAGGCTAGGGTATGACCTGTTTTATTATAGTGTTGTGTGGTATGTTCTACTCTTCTAAATTATAGTAGGTTGCAGATAATAGCTTGTGGTGTACGGGATTGTATGTCCGTGGTATTAGATGGTTCAGTACAATGTTGTAGTCTATTTTAGGTAAATGGCTTCTCTACCGTATATCTTGTCATACTTCACACCCTTTCAACATTATTATTTTTGTTTGTTTGTTCATTTACATATATTGATGTATCACCTGAAGAGGCTTATGTCATTCCGCTGGCCCCCAGACGAGGGAAGCAGCCGACGGGTGAGTCCTTTGGAGCCTCTTGAGGACCCTCTGGGGGCCTCTCTTGGGCCTCTTGGGGCCTCTTCGGGCCTCATGTGAGTTTCTTGGGCGCCTGCTGGCGGCGTCGGGGGTCCTCATGGGGCGTAGGGCTCGGAATGTCAGTTCGAAATAGCTCTTCTGGGCCCCTCTCCGGGCCCTGTTGGGGCTCTCGTAGGCCATCTCGGGCGCCTCTTGGGCCGTCTTGTGGCCCTCTCCGGCCGTCTTGGGGCCCTCTTGGAGCCCCGCATCGCCTCGCCGCGATACTGTAGGAGTGCCGATCGGGGGCCCGCCGTCGACGCTCTCACCACCCCCTGCATTGGCCATCGTATTTGTTTCTCATTTGCTGTTAGGTTTGGCTGAGTGCAAGTTGCCGCCGCTGCGCCGTCCTTGCTCACAAGGATGGTGTCTGCGCTCGAGCGCCTCGGCGCGGGGTCCAGGCAAGGACTATTGAACGATTTTTACGGGCTCGTGGCTTGAGGACGTAGTGGCCCAGACCAGAACCCCCCTGAAACCTCGAGGTTGGCCGAGGCTCCTCGACGACAGAGGGGGCTTTTTCCCTCATCTGCAACATGGACCTGTGAATTTACAGCTGGAATAAGAAAGCGGCTGTAGGGGCCTCCTGGTCCGTCTCAAGGCCATCCATTCGTCTTGGGTCGTTTCGGGGCCCTTTTACCGCATCCTCGGGCCCTGGTTTCAGGAACATTCCCGGTAGCGCCCAAGAGCGTCTGAGACGCGGGGGGCGTTGGGGCCTTTCGAGATTTTTCAATTCAATACTGTGTGCCTTTTGCGCGGAGGCGGGTTTCACAGGTTGGGTGGGCTCTGTGACAGTCTCTCGTCTAATAGTGCAGAAGAGCAGGCCCGGACTCGATACTGCGCCCTTCCGCGCTCTGTTATTATCGGGGGTGGACAGACCTCCTGCCCTGACGCGTCCAATGAGGAATGGTCCGTTTTCGGTTCGCGAGAGGGCGTCGCGGCCGTCGTTTTTGCGGGTCCAGGTCTGGCGGTTTCGGTCCCAGGCCGTTTTCACTAAGGGGAGGTTTGCTAAAGCGAGGTTCGTCCACCGCCGATGGTACATGATGGAAATGGGAGCCATACGACACATGAAACAAGATCGGCGAATGCCGGGGCCATGTCCGTGCTGGTACGGCTCGCAGGGAATACATATATATGTATATATGTATATATATATATATATATATATATATGTATGGCGTCGTCGATTTTGCTGCGGGGGGCGATCGTGCCCTCTCCGCCCAGCATGTTCAACAACCTCAGCCTTCGTGGCCCGATCGCGTCCGAACGGCTCCTCCTTTGCCCACTGAATGTGTACCGTGGTTGTTTGGTCCGAGCGCTGGGGATCTCATGATCCTGTTCGCCGAATCCCTTCGAAAGGCCGTGCATGTGGACGAACTCATGCGCGTTTTTTGATAATGGCCCTGATGGGCTGTGGCGCGGGGGCGATACCTATGTCCAGCATGTCAGCAATCATGTCGCCGAGAATTCGCGATGCCACGCCTCGTGACATATTCGCGATCCTGTGGTGTGCGGCCAGCTTGCGCCCGGCCTTTTCGCCAGGGCGCCTTGTCGCCCGGCAGGACGAGAGCAACCCGTTCGGCGACGCGACGCTCACGGAGAAGTTCACGTGGAAGAAAAAGAACGAGTACTTGCAAGCGGCAGGACGGGTGAGGGTGGATGGCGCTAGCTGGGATACGAGCCTGCAGGAAGGTCGAAGTGTCTCGGCAATGGTTCCGGCCAGCACAGGGAGAAAGGGGCCCGCTTCGTCCACTCGGAGACATTCTTTGTTTTGGTTGTTTCTTTCTCCTGTGGCGCCACCCCAGTCCAGCCCCCCACCTGAGCGACGGGGTCGTTCTTATGTGTCGACATTGGCGCATAAGCTGCGCGCGTAAGGTCTCGCGTGAGCGCCGTCGTCTCCAACGTGACTTGCCGCGCCGGCGGCCCGCGTAAACCACCGCGTAAGGCCGCTACGCCATCTCGAGCGAGATACGCTTTTGATGGTGGAGGAGGAAATGGCGGAGGCGGAGGCCGAGCAGGAGGAGGAGGAGGAGGAGGCGGAGGAGGAGGAGGAAGAGGAGGGGGAGGAGGCGGAGCAGACGACGCGGCCGTCGCGGCCGTCGCGGCCGCGGCTGCGCCGCCCGCTGCCCAGGGCGCGCTTGCCGATGCCCCCCGGCGCTTGGGCGCCGCGGCCGCAGCGCAAGCGCGGTTCGCAGGCGCGGCGTGGCGGGCGCACGCGGCCTCGCAGGGCCTGGCGCGGGTGGTCTGAGTGGTCAGCGCTGCTGTGCACCCGGCCGGGCGCGCCTCGCCAGCCGCCCCTGCGCGGGGTGGGCCCTGGAGTGCCTCAGCGGGCAGCGGGCTGCTTCAGCTGGAGGCCACGCTCGCCGGCGGCAGCGAGGCCGATTGGCGCCCGACGGTTCGCCGCCGGCTGCAGGAGCGCCCCGGCCCGCTAGGCTGACCAATCCAAGTTTGTTCTCGCCCCTTCCCGGGGGCTGTTTTCTTCTTCCGGTCCCTCGTCTCTCTTTTCGTCTGTGTTCTCCCGTGCCACTGGGTCTCGCTGGGCGGTAAAACGTGTCTAAGGCTTTTCTCACGCGGGTGTAGGATTGGAGGGAGAACAGCGATTGGCATTTGGGGCGTTGGCCAACGACGGCCTCCATGTGCCAATGTGGAAACATTCCCCGAGTGTGCATTTTTTATGTTTTGCACGACGTTCCGATTCTACACCGCAGTACTCGTGTACCCCATCGCCAAGTTCGTGTGCGCCGTCGTCAAGTACATCGAAAGAATAAGTTGCCTCATTTTGCACTTAAGCAGCTTGCCTTGCAGTACGCCGAAAACCAGGAAGTTCCCGTGTCAAGTATGCGTGGGTGCGTGAAGCTGTGTGTGTGTGTGTATGTCTTTGTGTGTGTGCTTGTGTTCTTGTGTGTGTATGTGTGTGGGGGGGGGGGTCGCGGAGATGGGGGTCGCACCCAACCGGGCGTGCGAACATGTAGGGAGGACTGACGATGGGGAGTGACAGGCAGGCTGCGGGAGGAGAGAACCGGCCGTTGGGCAGAGGGAAGTGACAAGCCTTGCGAGTGACCTTTTCCTCGCTGGGCGCGGCAGGACTCTTCAAGAAGTCGAGCGTCGAGCAGGACATCTCCAGGATGGAGACCAAGGCATGCGACAGGAGGGGGGATGCTGGCATCGGGTTGCTGTCGCCGCCGCTGCTCCTCGTCCTCTCCGTCCTGCTCGGCCCTCGTCGTCGCCCTCCGCCTCCCTCTCTTCCTCCACCCTCCTTCTTCCCCCAACCTAGCCCAGTCCTCCTGCTCGTCCCTCCTCGTTCCGTCCCCTCCCCGCCGCCTCCCTCCCGAGGAGGAGGAGGAGGAGGAGGAGGAGGAGGGAGGAGGAGGAGGAGGAGGGGAGGAGGAGGAGGAGGAGGAGGAGGAGGAGGCGGAGGAGGAGGAGGAGGAGGAGGAGGAGAATAATAATAATATTAATAATAATAAGATGACGAATAATAATAAGAAGAAGACGAATAATAATACTAATAAGAAGAAGAATAATAAAAATAATAATAATAAGAATAATAATAATAAGAAGAATACGAATAATAATAATAATAATAAGAAGAAGAAGAATAAGAATAATAATAATAATAAGAATAATAATAAGAAGAATAAGAAGAATACGACGAATCATAATAATAAGAAGAAGACGAATAAGAAGAAGACTAATAAGAATAATAATAATGATAATAAGAAGAAGACGAGGAGGAGAAGAAGAGGAGGAGAAGGAGGAGGAATAGGAAGAGGAGGACGCGGACGCGGACGCGGACGCGGACGAGGAGGAGGAGGAGGAGGAGGAGGAGGTAGAGGAGGAGGAGGAGGAGGAGAGGAGGAGGAGGAGGATGAGGAGGAGGAGGTGGAGGAACAGGAGGAGGAGGTAGGAGGAAGGAGGAGGCGGAGGTGGAGGAGGAGGAGGAGGAGGAGGGGGAGAGGGAGGGGGAGGGGGAGGGGGAGGAGGAGGAAGGAGGAGGAAGGAGGAGGAGGGAGGAGGAGGAGGAGGACGAGGAGGAGGACGAGAGGAGGAGGAGGAGGAGGAGGGGGGAGCAGGAGGTAGGAGGAGGAGGGGGTGGAGAGGGAAGAGGAGGAGGAGGAGCGTGGAGGACGGAGGAGGAGAAGGAGGAGGAGGAGGAGGAGGTGGGGGAGGGGGAGGAGGGGAGGAGGAGGGGAGGAGGGGAGGAGGAGGAGGGAGGAAGGAGGAGGAGGAGGAGGAAGAGGAGGAGGAGAAAGAGAGGGACAAGGAGGAGGAGACGGAGGAGGAGGAGGAGGAGGAGGATGAGGAGGAGGAGGAGTACTAATCATAATACCAATAAGAAGACGAGGACGAATAATCATAAGAACCAGAATCAGAAGAGTAATACTAATAATAACAACATGAATAATAATACAACGACGAACAATAACACGAATACTATTAAAACGAATACGACGACGAATCCGACTACTAATACGAATAATACGAAGACTGTTGATTACTATCAAGAAGAATGCTACTCCATACAACGAATAATACGACTGCTACTAATAATAATATTAATAATACTAATACGAATAACACCACTACCAATACTATTCATCATACTAATACTACCAATCATACTGTTACTACTAATGCTACTTCTACTTCTAATAATATTGATACTACTAATAAGGATAGTAGTATTAGCCATCATGCCTCTATTAATGGTACTACTACTACTAATAATCATAATAGTAATACTACGAATCATACTAGTACCGCTAAGAATAGTATTACTAATTAATATACTGATACTGATACTACTAACACTACTACGAAGAACAATAATAATCATGTCAGTCATACGCATAAAGACGACGACTAATACTTTTAAGATGCCTCGAATAATAATGCGAACACTACTACTGAACTGACGACGAGGAGGAGGAGGAGGAGGAGGATGAGGAGGAGGAGGAGGAGGATGAGGATGAGGAGGAGGAGGAGGAACAGGAGGATGAGCAGGAGGAGGAGGAGGAGGAGGAGGAGGAGGAGGAGGGTGGAGGGGGAGGAGGTAGGAGAGGAGGAGGAGGAGGAGGAGGGGATGAGGAGGGGGAGGAGGAGGGGAGGGAGAGGGGATGAGGAGTGAGGTGGAGGAGAAGGAGAGAGGGGAGGAGGGGGAGGGAGGAGGGGAGGGGGGGGAGGGAGGAGGGAGGAGGAGGAGGAGGAGGATGAGGACGGAGGAGGAGGGAGGAGGAGGAGGAGGTGGAAGCGGAGGAGGAGGAGGTGGAGGCGGAGGAGGAGGAGGAGGAGGAGGGAGGAGGTGGAGGAGGGAGGAGGAGGAGGAGGAGGCGGAGGAGGAGGAGGAGGGAGGAGGAGGAGGAGGAGGGGAGGAGGAGGGCGGAGGAGGAGGGGAGAGGAGGAGGAGGAGGGGGAGGGAGGAGGTGGGGAGGAGGGAGGGTGTAGCAATGGGGAGGAGGAGGAGGAGGAGGTGGAGGAGGAGAGAGGAGGTGGAGGAGGAGGAGGAGGAGGAGGAGGAGAGTGGAACAGAAGGGGAGGAGGTGGTGGAGGAGGCGGAGGAAACATAAGGAGGAGGAGGAGGGGAGGAGGAATGAGGAGGGGGAGGGTTCGGCGGAGGAGAAAGAGGAGGAGTGGGAGGAGGACCAGGAGGAGGAAGAGGAGGAGGAGGAGGAGGAGGAGGAGGAGGAGGAGGAGGAGGAGGAGTAGGGGAGGAGGAGGTGGAGGAGGAGGAGGGTGGGGGGCAGGAGGAGGAGGCGGAGGCGGAGGAGGAGGAGGAGGAGGAGAAGGAGGAGGAGGAGGACGAATAATGATAATACGAAGAATAATGCTATACATAAGAATAATACTAATACTGATACGACTAATACTATGAGAAAAGTATGACGAAACATAAGGGTACTACTACGACCAACAATAATAATAACCGTAATACTGATAACCATAATAAGAAGACTCCATATGAATAAGACTGATACTGCGACTAATAATAATACTAATACTAATACTAATACTAATAATACGAATGATACTAATACTAATAATAAGAATAATATGAAGAAGCCGACAAATAATAAGAACCATACGAATATTAATACTTACTAAGAATAATACTAATAAGACTAATCATATGGCTGATCAGAGGAGGAGGAGGAGGAGGAGGAGGAGGAGGAGGAGGAGGAGGAGGAGGAGGAGGAGGAGGGGAGGAGGAAGGGGGGGGAGGGAGGAGGAGGAGAGAGGCGGAGGCGGAGGATGAGGAGGAGGAGGAGGAGGAGGAGAAGGAGGAGGAGGAGGAGGAGGACGAAGAAGAATAATAAGACTAATATTACTAATAATGATAATACGAATAATTAGACTAATGATACGACTAATACGAAGAAACCATAATATGACGACGAAGAAGGAGATTACTACTAATAAGAATAAGATTAATACCCATAATTAATATAATACGTATGAATAAGACTGATATTACGACTAATAATAATACTAGTACTAATACTAATACTACGAATTATACTAATACTAATACTAATAATCAAAATACCAAGAAGAAGCAGACGACTCATATTACTACTACTACTACTACTACTACTACTACTACTACTACTACTACTACTACTGCTACTACTACTACTACTAATAACAATAATAATAATACTACTACTAATAATAATAATTATAATAATAGCAATAATAATAACAATAATAATGATAAGGAGAAGAAGAGGAGGAGGACGAGGAGGAGGAGGAGGACGAGGACGAGGAGGAGGAGGAGGAGGATTCCTTTCCCCCGTCCTCTTCCGCCATCCCGCGTCAGGGTGGGCCCGCGCGATCTCCGCGGGCGCACGCGCGGCCTGCCGCGCTTGCGCTCCAGGGCCTCGGCTTTGGCCTCTCGGAGCAGCCCCCGGGCGGCCCTCGGCCCACTGGGGGGCCCCGCGCTGCGTGCCTCGAGGCTCGCGCGGCGGGGGTCGATGCGCACGGGGGTCAGCCAGAGCTCCCGATTTTGCTCGGCATCGTTTATCCGATCCCCATCCCCATCCCCATCCCCCTCGAGACCCCCGCCAGATTACCACCCCAGTTGGGGATGCACCCCTCGAAACCCGAAGGGAACGGCCTACATCCCCATCTAGGGGGGTACATCGGCCAGTGGGGCCCAGGTCACGCCGCTGGGGATGGGGGTCGAATAAACGATGCTCATTTGCAGGATCCTGCAGGGCCAGGGGTGCATTGACCCGGGCTAGCGCACAGGATCCTGCAGGATCTCCTACAACGCCCGATCGGCCCGGGTGTGCCTTGACCCGGGCCAGTAGAAGCCCGAGTGCCTCTCGCCGAGACAGGGATTTTGGGGATCCTGCGCGCTGTTGTTTCCTGGCGGAAGGCGACAACGCTCTTCACCTTTCTTCGGCCTGCCCGGCGGAGGGAGGGAGGGAGGGAGAGGAGGAGAGGAGGGGAACGAGGGAGGAGGAGAAGGGGCAGAGTCAACCTAGGGTGCATCAACGATGCTGCAAGACGCTCTGCCACCCAAGGTCCTTCTTCACGATTCCCTGGAAGCACTCCTCCTTCGAGTCGGGGATCGACTACGGAATTGATTTACCCCAACCTTGATTTGCCTGTCGAATCCATGTGACATACGTAGAACGTGCGTAGATCTGCGAACATTCTGCGTGCGACCCGACGAGAAGGGTCAATTGCTGGGGTGCACCAAATTCTGCAGTCGATCCCTTGCTCGATCCCTTCCCTGCGCGAGAGGCTCCCTGTTTGAAAAGACGAGCGCCTCGCGGGCCCGCCGTCCCGGCGGGATCTCTCCTGTGGAAGAATCGGCCACGCGCAGAGAAGATGGGTTCAGGGTGCCCCCGCCAGCATGAGGAGGAGGAGGTGGAGGAGGAGGAGGAGGAGGAGGAGGAGGCGGAGGCGGAGGAGGAGGAGGAGGAGGAGGAGGAGGAGGAGGGGCCTGGGAACAGTCGGATTCGCTATCGAGGGCCTGTCGCTGATCTATCGGCGATGCACCGCCGATTCCATGCCGGCTTCCCCTTCGCCGGGGGCGGGGGGAAGGGGGGAGGCTTCCTGGGAGCGCCTCCGTCTCTTGGGAGGCCCCCTCTGAGGGCCCCGCACGAGGCCCCCATGCGAGGCCCCCGAAGAGGCCTCTCAGCGCCCCCCCCCACAGACCACCAGATGCCCCCCCAAAACTCGGCTGCGCGCAGAGAGGGGTAGAGTTAAGTCGGGCGTGTCCCTCTACAGGGGGAAGATCCAAAAATAGCCAAAGAATACTCTGGGGACGATGTTTTGACTATTTTTGAGTATTTCGGAGGTATTTTTGGAGCATTTTGCATTCTTCGCCCAAAATCCTCCTGTAGGGGGGCACGCCCGACTTAAGGGTAGAAGGGGAGGGGGGAAGGCCTCTCAGAAGCACCCCCTGCTCCTCTGGAGGCGCGGGCCCCCTGTCTGGATGCAAGGGCTGGCGCCTTCTCAGAAGCAGGAGTACTTCCGAGCAGCGTTTCCCCCCCCCCCCCCCCCTCTGCGCGCCGCCAGGAGAAGCTGGTTTCTCCCACCTTCGAGCTGTAGAAGCAGCGCGTCGGAGCCGGTGGTTCAGAATCCGCGTCCAGTCGGACCGAGGTCCCAGATCGAGGTCGGTCCGGGGAGGGTGGCCCCATCTTCGTGCCTGCTGGATGCTCTTGTGCACCCTGGGGGACGGTTCCCCTGGACGTTCTGTGCGCTCTGGCCGGCGCAGAGCCTCGCGTGCCTGGAGTTAAGTCGGGCGTGTCCCCCTACAGGGGGATTTTGTGCCAAACATAAGCATAAGAAAACACCCCCCTAAATGCTCAAAAACAGTCAACAAATCGTCCCCAGACTATGTTTTGGTTATTGAATCGCTTCGCTCATTCCGCCGGCCCGTGATATGGCATCGCTGGTTTTTGTCTGTGTGTTCGTTGCCCATGTTGCGCTCTTGGGGGCGGGTGTCGTTCGGACGCGTTGCGTGGGGAGTTTTGATGGAGAAGCAGTTCCCTGGGGGTCGTCTCTCGATGGGGCGAAATAGAGTCGTCGTCAAGATGCTTCTTTGGGGGGCCTCTTGGGGTCTGTTGAGAGGCCGTTCGGGGGCGCCTGGGAGACATGTTTGAAGCCTTCTGGGGCTTCTTTTGGGCCTCCTGGGAGTCTCCTGGGGCCTCTTGGCGACATCTTGGGGCCTCTTGGAGGCCTCTTGGGGCCTCTTTGGGACCTCCTGGCGCCTTCTGGGACGGAGGGCTCCATTTTTGAGTTCTCGGTATCCCTCCTGAGTCCCTCTTGGGCCCGTCTTGGGGCCTC